TTTAAATTTCTTTTGTTGGTCTTCCAACTTAAAGGAGCGTAGTAGAGCCAGTATCTCTGGTACTTTGGTCAGCTTAACACCCGTCTTCATGGTGATAACCGTGCTGAGGGCCGCTAGGTATGTAGATAGTGTTGAACCTTTTAACCGCCTCGTTTGTCTTAGATGACAAAGGTATTCCACCAATTGAGGCTGTGTTGCTTTCATCGCCATGAAGCCCTTCCTCAATGCATATTTCTTAAAACTCTGCCACTTGTTGTCGTACAAGCTGCGGGTTGATCTACTTAGAGCTAGTGTGACTGCGTTCGCTGCTCTGGCGAATATCCTCTTTTCTTCAAGCAAGTCTTGATACGTTCCATGCGCGTGGTTGGAATTCTGTTGGATTTCTGTGTACTTGCTTGGTGTGCGGATGAATTAGTAGGTTCGGCCACTCTGGGAGTTGCAGGGTTGGACTTCCGAGTTCTTGTATGAGGATGGGAAACCACACCCTCGCTGGCCAGTAGGGCGCGACCAAAATCAGTTGCAGCTTCTTCGTCTGCTTGATTTTCTGCAACACCTGCGGTATTAGAGCTGGAGGTGGAAACGCGTAAGCGTTTAGTCCTTCCCTGGAGATGCTTAGAGCATCTGTTGCCCATCCTTGAAGTGATGCATCTACATAGAGATGAGTGTTGTACTCCGGCTCTGATAAGTAGGTTCCTCCGCACGAGGAGACGAGCAATTAAGCATGAGTCAGGATAAGGAAAAATAATATTTCATGATAATTCATGTTGATGTAATGACTATTGCAAAGCGACATGAACGTTTTGATTAAGTTACGTTACATTAACACATATTTTGTACAGTAAATCTGATCAAACCAGGATTTATGCGTCCTATTACATTATACATGGATGCAATAAGACATCCAACATGATAAATGCTGATATTTCTTTCACTTTTCATTATTCTCATTTGTGCGACATTGAATTGTGGGAATTGTGCACTAAATTTGAGAATGAGTGACCCAGCGATTGTGTCAGTCATATAATGAAATTGTCACCAGTTTCAAGTTACAAACATCCTAACATTGGTGTATCATTTCACAGTAATGATAACCATCATTAATTCATACATATTATACCCTGGTGAATATTCACCACACACCATGTGGGGATTCTGGGATTCCCATCACCTATGCTTGTTGTAACAATAGGAGGCCACTAAACACAGCAACAATCTACAAATCCTGTTGGCAAATATACATACAGAAATTACTCAAACACTTCAAATCTGTAAATACCTTTGGATAATCTTAACATCAAAGGGTAGCCTTGTGGTTAAAGCGTCCGTTTGCCATGCCGAAGGCCCGTGTTCGAATCTACAGTCCGTTTGAGTCAGAAACGGGCCGATGAATTGCAAATTTTATCATTGTACAAAATTGCCACATAAATATAAATAGTACACATGTTTATCATTTACTAATACCCAACAGCTTTCTTATACTAGTATTTGAAAATTTTCCAGACTCCACCCAAAAAGTTGTTTAAGAAACTATCATCATTGAAAACGCAAAAGTTGTTATCTGTCGCGGCGGGGTGAAACCACAGAAACAGAACAGCCACTATCTCGTCGTTCACGGAATACACATGCCTGATGAAAAATGAAGTTGAATGCTGACGTGAAACAGTTCATGATTAAAGTGTATGATTTTTTCCGTGCTGAAGCCAAAAGGGGCAAACCATTTTATGCCATTCATAAATTCCGTGAGCGGGCAGCAAAAGCTTTAGGAGTATCAGCAAGGGTACTGATAAATGTTCTGGAACACAAACATTGTGAGGGTGATCTTGAAGCAGGTAGGGTCATGTCAACATCACACAAATTAAAACATTTGGACAACTTTCAAAAGAACCTTGTAAGGCAGTCTATCAACAAGCTCTATTCTGAAAACAAATACATGTCGCTGAAAATTTTAAAAAGCATTTGAAGCAAGAACACAACCTCAGAGTATCAAAGTACACACTCTGGCGACTCTCACACTCTTTTGGTATGGTTATAAGAAAATTTCGGGGAGAATAGGTCAGTACTCTGTGAACGCCCTGATATCGTTAAGCGAGAAATAATTTTCTCAGGGTTATAAAGAAGAAGCGAGGAAGGGTTCGAGCCAGTGTACTTGGACAAGACCTGGGTCAATGCCTTGCACACTGCCAGTAGTCAGTGGGTACCTGATGGGGGTGATAAGGGGTCACGTAGAAAGCTGCCTCTAGGGAAAGGAGAGAGACTAATCATTCTCCATGCTGGTTGCTCCAGCGGAGGCTTTCTCCCAGGCTGCGACTTGGTATTCAGGGCAAAGTCCACAGATAACAGAGACTACCATTCCGAGATGAATGGTGCGGTTTTCCTCGATTGGGTTAAAAACAAGTTGGTACCAGCTCTACCAGAGAACTCTTTCATCGTAATGGACAATGCCCCATACCACAGCGTGCAGGACCCCGACAGTAAAGCCCCGACATTGATCAGTCGAAAAGGTGATATGATATCATGGCTCGACAAATTTCAGATCGCACGGCCTTCAAAGGCAACGAAGCCTCAGCTATATGAGATCATAAAACCCCACAAAGGTGAACCTTTCTACAAAGTTGAAAGTTACATAAAAAGTAAGGGTCACGATATTCTGCGACTTCCACCCTATCACTGTGACCTTAACCCCATTGAAATGATATGGGGTATTGTCAAAGGACTCCCGGAATAGATTTTGAGATGTCCCCCGCCAACAACTTTGGCGTTTTCAATGATGATAGTTTCTTAAACAACTTTTCGGTGGAGTCCGGAAAATTTTCAAATATAAGAAAGCTGTTGGGTATTAGTAAATGATAAACATGTGTACTATTTATATTTATGTGGCAATTTTGTACAATGATCAAATTTGCAATTCATCGGTCCGTTTCTGACTCAAACGGACTGTATACATGGGTACAATGTGTGAAGCCCATTTCAGGTGTCTCCATCGTGATATTGCTGGAATCTTGCTAAAAGCAGCGAAAACTAAACTCACTCACTTAACATCAAATAAAAGGTTATAAGTGGTTTTAATTTAACCTGCTAACATGGTATTTTAGATGAGTAATAAGGCGTTATTACATTGTGTTATGGTATGTAGTCTGTGTGTAATCAACTGTGAAATACTTGTTATATATTATTTATATAATATTTGTTCATATTTTCTAATTCTAGACTCAGTATTCAAAGATATGTTGTATTCCTTGTTAATCACAACAAGAGAGGCTTCCTTATGTTTCAGGGAAAATGGTGCAATGAATTTGCACAGAAATATACGCCATTCAAGTGAAATACTGAAGTCCTCAAAGGAAAATTGATGCAGAACTACCTGATTGTTGTAACTACAATTATTTGCAAGTTTTTGAGGCTCATCTGCAAAAATGGCAATGGTAGAACCATGAATTTTTTTGTCAAATTAATACTTAATCATGATAATAATTATTGTTAAGGAAAGGCAGCCACATCTTAAGCAGCTGTTGAAAATGGCTGGAGTACAGGCATGACAGACCTTCCAAGTAATACCACACTTATGTCAGGCAGGAGCTAATGGAGACTTTGTTGAAGTGAAAAACAGATCGTAATACAGATTAGGGTTATCTTGTCAGCATCTGTGTACAAACTGCTGACCAGACATCTGTTTATAATTACTGGTAGCACACAGGCCAAACACAGTTCAGCCTGACCATGCTGACATTGTGGATTGATCATACGTTGATTGCAAGTTTACTTAATTTCTTGTTGCTGACCATGTATCCAGAAATGCAATCTGTTGCCGGGATTTATCATGCAGTGTTACTTGATTAAAATTATACGATAAACAGTGAGTAGTGAGTTAGGTTTTACGCCACATTTACCAATATTCCAGCAATATCGCGGCAGGGGGCACCAGAAATGGGCTTCACAGATTGTACCCATTTGGGGAATCAAACCTAGGTCTTTGGCGTGACAAGAGAACGCTTTAACCACTTGGTTACCCCATGCCCCTGTACAAGAGAACGCTTTAACCACTTGGTTACCCCATGCCCCTGTACAATAAACAATACCACAACATTGCTACACAACATATTCTCAACATCGATTGTTTTTAAAATATCTGTACATTTGAAATCTTAACAATTTTCATAAGGAATCAAATGCACAGGTATCAAATGAAAATCACATAATTAGTCAGACAGACAGACAGACAGACATATTTATTCAGTAATGTGGGCCTAACGGCGTATAATACAATTGAAACTTACAATATTTTACAATGCCACGTGATAGTTTCATATATAATGTTTAAACAGATGTTTAAAAAACAGAGCAACTGATTTAATAATATTAGAATCTTTGGAGTGTAATACATTTATCATGCTTTGTTCACATTGGGGCATGGCATTCAGCTGCGGCAAGTACTTTTTCCGAATTTCATTATATTTTGTACATTGCATAAAAACATGGTATTCATCTTCAATGGCTCCAAGATTACAATTTTACAGATACAACTAATTTTCCCACTGTCTTTATTTCTCCTGTAAGTAACAATTCTAAAATTATGTAGGGATATTCTAAATTTACAAAATGCTCTTAGAAGAGACTTATCATTCAGTTGTAAAATATAACATTCAGGCTCCAGAACTGCTTTCAGCTTACAGTAGTTCGTTAAATAGTGCGAGTTACAAATAGAATCATGCCAAGTTTGTTTGTATATGTCAATCAATCTTTCTCTAAACTTCACTATAAACACATTTGCATCACCAACATTTTGTAATATCCACACAAATGAGAAACCTGTTCTAAACAGGATTGTTCTAATGTTGGACACCCAATTACATTTTCCATTTTCATCTAAATGTTTAAGTAATACATAACATTGATATGGGTAACGATTTACATTCATTTGCAACAACTTAATTAGTGGTCATTATGATATCATATTGTTTTGACCACTGCAATCCCATAGCAACTATAGCTTTCAATTTTACCTTTTGCAGCTGGAGCTGGTTTTGTCTTGGTTACAGCAAGTTTTGTCTTGGATACAGCAGCCGGAACAGGTTTTGTCTTGGTTACAGCAGCCGGAACAGGTTTTGTCTTTGTTGCAGATGAGGCTTTGCTGGCTTTAGATTTCGATTTGCTGCCATCATCAAAGTCACTGTCATCCCCTTCACTGAAACTCTCATCGCTATCGCTGTCCATTCCGAACTCACTCCCTGGCAACAACAATACTGGTGGATTATTCCAGCTGTAAATGTTGACCCGTGTCTGGTTCTCTTTCAACAGTATATCCTGGTGTGTCAACTTCATATGGGAAGCATCGTCAGGAATTGGCTGAAATATTGATGATGTGACGAAAATTTTAACTCATTTACTCACTCATATAGCAAGCAGCCACAATATAGCTGGAATATTGCTGAGTGCAGCCTTAAACAACAAACCAACCAACCAGTGATGCAGTGACGAAGTGATGCAGGACAAAGACATAAACCGCTTTGGAGTATGAGCACACGTATGGTGACAACAAAGTTGGAAACAGAAATAGAGCAAACCATATGTTCTGCAACACCTAAGGGACTTAACTCTGGACAGCATATTGTGGCCACAGGCCCTCATGTCTTTGCAAGGATTAAAGATGTTAAAAAAACATAAAATATTTGAGATGACCCCCGACTCGAAAAGCTTCACAGTATCCTACCCGCCCCGCCTGCTTTGCCGATTGTTTAATCTTTTATCTTCGCAAAGACACGAGGGCCTGTGATTGTGGCTCCTATGTCAAATGAGCCAAATTGAAAGTTTCTGACGACAAATCTGGACTCTCTCTTACCATGGCACAGCCTTTAGTTCGGTATATGAGACATGATCATAATGCAGAAAATTAAGAGCTAAACCTTACAGAAATGCATAGATTTTGACAAAATTATTCGATTTCTAGACATTTTAATAGGTTTTTAAACGGTTAAGAAACTGACGGTACGAAAACATCGAATTTTTGCTTTCCATTACGGTATACCAATCCGAAGTCAACATACCGCTGTTCAACAAATACCACGGTATACCGTTTCACCCATAACTGGCATGATGTGATGTGTTTTTAACATTAAGGTGTATTCCAACAATCAGCAATGAACCAAACCTGGACCATGTCAACAGCTGGTTTGTTAGTTCTAGACTAGATTATTGTCACAACTGAGAAAACTAACAAGTCTACATCATAAACAGTGTTCAAGCATATATCATAGCTTGATAGAGAAATGTTAAGTGAGTGAGTGAGTTTTAGTTTTACGCCCTTTTTAGCAATATTCAGGCAGGGGACGCCAGGAATGGGCTTCACACATTGTACTCTTGTGGGGAATCAAACCCGGGTCTTCAGAGTGACGACTGAACGCTGTAACCACTAGGCTACCCCACCACCCCTAAATGATAAGTAGATAGTTTGATTAATGATACCAGTCAGGCTGTCAAAGAATACACAAGGGTAACAAATATTTTCAAAGTGACATCTCGTTTGAACACTTGTATCATGAGAAACACATTCTGTCCTGCAGACTGACAGACTCCAGTCATTTGGGCAAAAATATCCAACCCATCGTGTGTTTACCATCAGAGTCGCTGTCCACATATTTTGATTTCTTCGGTGCACTTGTGACTCGTCTCCGTTTGGATGGCTGCTCACCGGACAAGATGTCAGACTCAAGGATTTGTATGACTTCATCCTCCTCCACTTCGGCCGGCCGCTTCCTCGCTGTGATGACATGCTGCGACTGATGGTCTGAACCTGGCTTCAAGTCTGTGTCTGATTGGTCAACTTTACCAGAGGTTACATCTGGTTCCGTCACAGAACTCTTGACGCTTGAGAGTGGAGGTGCACTCTCAACTAGGGACAGAGAAAACATGACAATAGGTTATCCTGAGTGAGGTTATGAGTGAGTGAGTGAGTGAGTGAGTGAGTGAGTGAGTGAGTGAGTGAGTGAGTGAGTGAGTGAGTGAGTGAGTGAGTGAGTGAGTGGAAATTTAACAGAAACTTACAAATGTATAAGATTCATATTGCAGACCTACAGTGGTAAGAGTTGTATTTCATGCCACATATTGATTCAGTTTATCAAACTTATGTTGTTGTTGCTGTGTACATGTTTAATAGAAAAACATACAAATGTTTCATAACAGTGAAGCACACCAGAATATGATGTCAACATGGATGCAATAAGACATCCAACATGATAAATGCCGATATTTCTTTCACTTTTCATTATTCTCATTTGTGCGACATTGAATAGTGGGAATTGTGCACTAAATTTGAGAATGAGTGACCCAGCGATTGTGTCAGTCATATAATGAAATTGTCACCAGTTTCAAGTTACAAACATCCTAACATTGGTGTATCATTTCACAGTAATGATAACCATCATTAATTCATACATATTACACCCTGGTGAATATTCACCACACACCATGTGGGGATTCTGGGAACAATAGATTCCATCACCTATGCTGCTTGTAACGATAGGAGGCCACTAAACATTTCTTGTTGCTGACCATGTATCCAGAAATGCAATCTGTTGCCGGGATTTATCATGCAGTGTTACTTGATTAAAATTATACGATAAACAGTGAGTAGTGAGTTAGGTTTTACGCCACTTTTACCAATATTCCAGCAATATCGCGGCAGGGGGCACCAGAAATGGGCTTCACAGATTGTACCCATTTGGGGAATCAAACCTAGGTCTTTGGCGTGACAAGAGAACGCATTAACCACTTGGCTACCCCATGCCCTGTACAATAAACAATACCACAACATTGCTACACAACATATTCTCAACATCGATTGTTTTTAAAATATCTGTACATTTGAAATCTTAACAATTTTCATAAGGAATCAAATGCACAGGTATCAAATGAAAATCACATAATTAGTGGTCATTATGATATCATATTGTTTTGACCACTGCAATCCCATAGCAACTATAGCTTTCAAATTTACCTTTTGCAGCTGGAGCTGGTTTTGTCTTGGTATCAGCAGGTTTTGTTTTGGTTACAGCAGCCGGAACAGCTTTTGTCTTTGTTGCAGATGAGGCTTTGCTGGCTTTAGATTTCGATTTGCTGCCATCAAAGTCACTGTCATCCCCTTCACTGAAACTCTCATCGCTATCGCTGTCCATCCCGAACTCACTCCCTGGCAACAACAATACTGGTGGATTATTCCAGCTGTAAATGTTGACCCGTGTCTGGTTCTCTTTCAACAGTATATCCTGGTATTTCCTTCTTTGCAAGGATTAAAGATGTTAAAAAAACATAAAATATTTGAGATGACCCCCAACACGAAAAGCTTCACAGTACAATACATTATGACAAGGCTGGACACTTCGGTGCACCCTACCCGCCTGCTTTGCCGATCGCTACGCTACCATCGCATGTAATCGATTAAAATGTGAACATAATCATGGATGATTGGCCTATCAATCACCACTCATGACACCTACCAATTCTTTATTGTTATTTCTGCAAGTCGATTGAAACCCGATTTTGACCCTCAACTATAGTTTGGCATGAAATGCATGTGGACCCGAATTTTTGTAAATATCTCGTCATCCAATGATCCAATCGATCTCAAACTGTGCAAGTGGATGTTTTGTCAGACAACCTAATCACATTGTAAATCACTGATTTTATGCATTTGTATTAAAGAATCTGTCTATGTAACTGTCAACAAAATAAACAGCAGAACGCAGACTGCTCGCAGAGGGAGGGAGCCAATGACCTGTAACAGCGGCAGTGTTGGGTCATAAAAGTCAATGTTCGTCAATGTAGGTCAGCTAAGCACGTGACAGGTATGAAGAGGTGTCACAGGTCGTGAATAAGGTAAGGTGGGTGCCAACTGTTAACCATCATACAGAGTTTGTTTCTCTGAGTTGTTCAACATTAACCACAAAACCCATTAGTGAGAATTATTCTGTAGGTTAAAATCTTTAAATTTGTAATGTTAATGTCATATTTTGTTTATGCAGTACCTAAGTGGAAATGCATTTAAAGAACACAGAAAGTATATTTACACTAAATCATTAATCGGACCACCTATGGTTAGAACTCAACAACTGTTAAAGCCCCGTTCCCTCGGACACAAGCACACACAATCATGCACTCTCATTGAAGAAAAGATAGAATGAAGACAAAAGTGTTATGTTTTGATGTCGTTCACATTCCAAATTAAGCAATGCAGTTCTAATAGCTTTATGCATATAGATAGTTAATATTTATATTTTCATGATAATTTTATGTGAAATGAGTGTTTCATGTTACACTATAAGTCTTTGGAATTAGTCAATGCTGTCATTGTTAAAAAAAGTTATATTTCTTTGAGCATATCTGGCTGGATACTATCATTATCTGTAAATATAATAACAGAATTAAACTTCATCAAGTACACTCCATTCTTCCAGAGGAGTCATCAGTGTCCAGACGAATGACAACTGGATGAACTGTTTGCTCCTTCAAGCCATCTTTGAGCCAGTACTCTTTCTCCACCTTCTTGACATGTTCAACACATGCATGCTAGCGTGCAATGTCAATGTCACATATAGCAGTGTTGACAATGTGCTTGACATCATTCAACTTGAATGATTGATTTTTCCGGGCCACTGTACTTTTAAGGTCTCCCCAGATAAGTTTGATTGGGTTGAGATCACAGTGGTACGGTGGTAATCTCAAGACCTTATGGCTGTGTTGGCGTAGCATGTTGTCAATGTTATAAGTGGGTGGAGGTTTGTTAGGTTTAATCAAAGAGTACAACTGTGGTTTAGTGGCCTTAATTGAAAATTGTATATTGCTATTTGCTAGCCATTGCTGCATATCTGACTTCTTTGTATTGGAAGCTGGGCACCTATTGTTTGGATCTCGAACACTGTGATAGGGAGCACTGTCCATGACAACAAGACTTTTGTAAGGCAGAGCTGGCAACAATTGTTCCTCAACATACTGTGTGAAAACCGTTGAGTTCATTTCTGTATGATAGTCCCTACCATCTGTGCTCTTTGACCGAAATACCAGATCACACCCAGGTATGAATCTACGGTGGGAACCAGCATGAAGAACGATTAAACGTTCACCTTTGCCTGTTGGTATTTTCCTACCATCACTGGGATCAGTGGGTAGCCACTGTCTGGCAGCAGTATGGTTTGCATTGACCCAGGTCTCATCCAGATATATAGGTTCGAACCCATCCTCTCTTGCCTGCTTAATTTCTCTCAGATAGTTACACCTTATTTTCACAATATCAGATCTCTCACACATTACAAGTTTCTGGTTTGCTACCTTCTTGTACTTGTATCGAAATTTGAGCAGTAGTTTGCTTAGCATAAACCTAGAAACATTAATGTCGTGATCCTCTGCAAGGATGTGTTTTAACTTTCTTGTGGACAGGTGTTCATTTCTAGCAAATAGCCGGCGAATGACATCTCTGATGACCCTGATGTCAAATCTTTGGATGCCTACCTTTTTGTACAAGGTTTTGTTTATTGGTTGTTGGTTTATTTTTCACAATTTTTAGCACGATGTTCTTTTTCATGCCAAGAGCAAAAGTTGTACGTTTCATGTAATCCGACACCTTATAAATCGGTTTGCTATGTTTGCTCTCTTTTTAAAAAACAATTCAACACATTTCTAATTAAACGTTTAGCATCATCTGAATAAGCTTTCATGATGACAGCTAGAAGAAGTCAATGTGAATGATCCAAACGGTCTATCACTGTGCAGTGCACAGGTAACTATCATGAATGCACGTGCATTTACCTTTATGACCCAACACTGCCGCTGTTACAGGTCATTGGCTCCCTCCCTCTGCGAGCAGTCTGCGTTCTGCTGTTTATTTTGTTGACAGTTACATAGACAGATTCTTTAATACAAATGCATAAAATCAGTGATTTACAATGTGATTAGGTTGTCTGACAAAACATCCACTTGCACAGTTTGAGATCGATTGGATATTTGGATGACGAGATATTTACAAAAATCCGGGTCCACATGCATTTCATGCCAAACTATAAACAATCTTGACACAAATGGATGACGATATAGCCGCACAAAACGGGGGGGTGGTCAAACCAAGTCGAGATGAGTAGGGGAAAAATAATTTGTTTTATCTTTTATCTTTGCAAAGACATGAGGGCCTGTGATTGTGGCTCCTATGTCAAATGAGCCAAATTGAAAGTTTCTGACGACAAATCTGGACTCTCTCTTACCATGGCACAGCCTTTAGTTCGGTATATGAGACATGATCATAATGCAGAAAATTAAGAGCTCAACCTTACAGAAATGCACAGATTTGACAAAATTATTCGATATCTAGACATTTTAAAATGTTATAAAAGGGTTAAGAAACTGACGGTACGAAAACATCGAATTTTTGCTTTCCATTACGGTATACCAATCCGAAGTCAATATACCGCTGTTCAACAAATACCACGGTATACCGTTTCACCCATAACTGGCATGATGTGATGTGTTTTTAACATTAAGGTGTATTCCAACAATCAGCAATGAACCAAACCTGGACCATGTCAACAGCTGGTTTGTTAGTTCTAGACTAGATTATTGTCACAACTGAGAAAACTAACAAGTCTACATCATAAACAGTGTTCTAGCATATATCATAGCTTGATAGACAAATGTTAAGTGAGTGAGTGAGTTTCAGTTTTATGCCCTTTTTAGCAATATTCTGGCATGGGACACCAGAAATGGGCTTCACACATTGTACTCATGTGGGGAATCAAACCCGGGTCTTCAGAGTGACGATTGAACGCTGTCACCACTAGGCTACCCCACCACCCCAAAATGATAAGTAGATAGTTTGATTAATGATACCAGTCAGGCTGTCAAAGAATACACAAGGGTAACAAATATTTTCAAAGTGACATCTTCTCGTTTGAACACTTGTATCATGAGAAACACATTCTGTCCTGCAGACTGACAGACTCCAGTCATTTGGGCAAACCCATAGTGTGTTTACCATCAGAGTCGCTGTCCACATATTTTGATTTCTTCGGTGCACTTGTGACTCGTCTCCGTTTGGATGGCTGCTCACCGGACAAGATGTCAGACTCAAGGATTTGTATGACTTCATCCTCCTCCACTTCGGCCGGCCGCTTCCTCACTGTGATGACATGCTGCGACTGATGGTCTGAACCTGGCTTCAAGTCTGTGTCTGCTTGGTCAACTTTACCAGAGGTTACATCTGGTTCTGTCACAGAACTCTTGACGCTTGAGAGTGGAGGTGCACTCTCAACTAGGGACAGAGAAAACATGACAATAGGCAATCCTGAGTGAGTGAGTGAGTGAGTGAGTGAGTGAGTGAGCGAGCTTGGTTTTTATCCTGTTTGACAATAGTTAGGTCACCTTCATCAATCCATTTTGCACACAGTGTCAGCTCACCTTGACCTTAATAAGGGAGTCAGGTTTAACAAGCTTCCGTCAGTGTTCCAGCTATATCACCCAGACAGTTGGTGCGGGAGGAACGCTTGAAGTGACGCATGTCTCAGACATTTACCACTTTCTGGATGAAACCCAAACGCAGGAGTATAGTGCTGAGTTTGCAAACCTGCAGTATTCAGGACGAAATATTATTTACACCACAATCACAGGTTCCTGGAGTGCCAAGGGGGCAGAACTCTGATCAGTGAACTGCAGCCATGACACTTTGGTGAGCTGAGGTGGTCATCCTTACTTTATTTCTAAAGGCAGTGGGGTAGCCTAGTGGTTAGAGTGTTCACTCATCACACCAAAGTGAGTGAGTGAGTGAGTGAGTGAGTGAGTGAGTGTGAGTAAGAGTGAGTGAGTGAGTGAGTGAGTGAGTGAGTGAGTGAGTGAGTGAGTGAGTGAGTGAGTGGAAATTTAACAGAAACTTACAAATGTATAAGATTCATATTGCAGACCTACAGTGGTAAGAGTTGTATTTCATGCCACATATTGATTCAGTTGATCAAACTTATGTTGTTGTTGTGTGTACATTCACAACATGTTTAATAGAAAAACACACAAATGTGTCATAACAGTGAAGCACACCAGAATATGATGTCAACAGTCAAAATCCACCAGCATTGATATTCAGTGCTGCATTAACATTGAAGTTGTTATGCATCAAGCTGTACACTAATCTGCTGCTTGTCACAAAATACTAACCGCCTCCATGGTGTAGTGGTTAGAGCGTCCGCCCGGAGAGCAGAAAGGTTGCAGGTTCGATCCCCAGCCACGTCATACCAAAAGACGTTAAAATATGGTACTTGTTGTTCCTTGCCTGGTGCTCGGCATTAATGTGTACAACTTTGACTGGGGTATTCATGCTTAACTGCAGCATGGTATCTCAGTGAGCTGGCACTATAAAACCAGCTTAAGTCTGGGCTAGTACAAGCAGCCATACATTCACACGCATGCACACTGTCATATGAGCGAAATATTCTTAAGTACGACGTTAAACCCCATTTCACCTCACCTCACAAAATACTATGCATACATAAGTCCCATCACTTGGTTATAGTCACCTCTACCATGATAACTGTGTAAGAATCTACACCATAACTTTGCTCTAAGCAAAATACAAGAAATAGTTATCCAGAAAGTAGTATACTTTGTTATTGGCTCACCGACTTCTAGAATGCTGAGCAAACAATTATTATACTGAGGGCTGAAAACTAACAGTAAAAAATAAGTCATCGAAAGAACTGTAGAACAGTGCGAAATCTGACCTGTAACTGTGACTTGATGAGAATTGTCTTCAGGTTTCAGAGCCTCGATTCCATCACTGGATTCTTGGGATTCACTGACAGACAGGTTTAGTGCCGCCTGGAGATCCCGCTCAAATAGCTTCTCCTCTAACGACAGTCTACAAACAGTAAATGAATGTGTGTTCTGAGTGTGTCAGATTAATGCCGACGGAAGTCAGACGGGTGTTGTGCTAACAAACCAGATCATAATCTTGCATCATGGGTTCAAACCTAGGTCAGTAAAAAGAAATGTGGTTCCGATTACACCTCTTTAAAATTTTGGGTAGGTAGGTAGGATTTTTTTTTTTTTTTTTTAAGTACTACTGAACTAATAGTACAACCACAATTAGGCCCAATGATCTGTTTGAGTGTTTTTGCATGATTGATCGAGGGTTTTTTTGCATAGCGTAATCCCCCAATGTAGGCTGTCACCAATATCACGTTAACACCAGTGTTCAAAGTGTCGTGGTGATCTTGAAGATAAGGTCAAGGTCACCCAAGTCGATTGGTGTCTGGGTAATCCCCCGATGTAGGCTGTCACTAAATGTGAAGACATTGGGTACAACAGTTCATGAGATATCGCGTTAACAAGAATCGGGACGTACGTTTGTATGTACGGACGCCGATGAATACATAGTCCCCCGTTCTGCATTGCGACGGGGGACAAAAATCCCTTGAGTTTGTTATAACCAAAGTTTACAGAACAGTCTCTTCCTCTGTGTTCCCTTCACTGGTTTCACAGCCCTTTCCCCTAATGTAGGCTGTCACCAAATTTGAAGATATTGAATACAACAGTGCATGAGATATCGCGTTAACAAGAGTTTGAAAAGTGGTAAAAGTGTTGTGGTGACCTTAAAAATAAAGTCAAGGTCACCCAAATCGACTGGTGTCTGGGTAATCCCCCGATGTAGGCTGTCACCAAATTTGAAGACATTGGGTACAACAGTTCATGAGATATCGCGTTAACAAGAATCGGGACGTACGTTTGTACGTACGGACGCCGCTGAATACATAGTCCCCCGTTCTGCGTTCCGTTGGGGGACAAAAATCCCTTGAGTTTGTTATAACCAAAGTTTACAGAACAGTCTCTACCTCTGTGTTCCCTTCACTGGTTTCACAGCCCTTTCGGACTTCTTGCTCTTGTCCTTGTTTTCTTTGTTAGCCAGAGCTGATTTCTTCCTTTCATGAGGTGAAGGGTCAGCAAAGTCATCTGTAGTGAACAGACTGAGTAGGAACACTGACACTGGTTAAGTGATATAACAAGCATCTCACCATCACAGTAAACTAGTACACATGAACTTTAATAAGAGAAATTTTAACTTGTTTTCAAACCTTGTTAAAACGATGAGAAATATGTTGTCTCATCTGGAAACTTGTAATACTTGGCATGTTTAATATGTCAATATACACTCAGGTATTGTGCCAAATAAACAATTGTGGTGTCTTGTTATGTCAAGTCGACACGAACCAGTTGACCTTCAACAGAATTTTTTAAGAGACCTGAAACCAGCAACAAGAATTGCACCTGCCGTCATACTTATCCCCCACATACTATCCTGAAAGCATGTCGCTTACCATCATCATTGTCCCCGAAAGCTGCATAGTTGATTTTCTTTCTTTCCCTGAAACAGTAATCCAAGTGTTACAGCTGTAACAACATGGCGGACATCTGCTGGACACCGGACACTGGTGAATTCAGCTACAGGCATGGCAACAGGAAAATCTATTTTCAGCTGTAAACTTAACATTGTGTCATCGAATGAGGCGTTCAGGGTTTCTCTACGAATTTAGATGATTCTCAGACTTGATCAAATTGAAATAAATCAGCGAAATCTGCAGATCAGTGGAAAATTGCCATCCCTGAGCTGATTCCATTAACATGGGGACAGATGTGTCATGTGCTATCAGCAGTATTGCTTCAGTATCGCAGCATCATGTAATCGGGTCTGGAAAACTGGTGATTGACATAAAGTTGAGACGCTGAAGAAGAAAGCTGAAGTTTAAGATTGTTTGGTTGTTTTATTGTTTAACGCCGCACTCAGCATTATTCCAGCTATATTGTGGCAGCCTGTAAATAATCGAGTCTGGACCAGACAATCCAGTGATCAACAGCATGAGCATCAATCTACGCAATTGGGATAGGATGACGTGTACCAACCAGCGAGCCTGACCTCTCGACCCTGTTAGTCGCCTCTTATGACAAGCATGGGTTACTGAAGACCAATTTCAACCCCAATCTTCATGGGTCAGAAAGCTGAAGAAGTAACAGAAGTCACCAGATTAGACATCTTTAAAGCAAGTTTCTTCAATAACACATGTTCACATGCATAACTAGCTGTAGAGAGCCATAATTGCACAGTAATCAAAGTTTACTCTCCGTGGTAAAAAAATCAACATTTTCAATATTTGTGTGACTGCTGCGTCAACAATGCTTAATATCTTATTGACTTTCTGTGATCAATGTGAGACACACTACAGCTGAAATCATTTATGCAAGGTTTCATCTCTAAAGGCAATAAAATGGTTAGGTCACTTTGTTAGATATCCCAGCAGCAACCCTCACCATGCTGGACATGCCTCGGATGCCCAGGAGCATCAAGGTTTAGTGGACAATGTGACAAGATTGACCAGATGCTTACCATTCTCAAAGCATGCAAATTTGGATACTCTTTTGCTAGGCCATATATATCAAAATGTTCTTGTTTAACATTACCGGCCGACCCAAAAATTTGACCTGACCTACACTAAAGAAAATGCAACTTTGAGTCTCAAAATGTGCATGAATTTTTCACACTTCTAAGTTTTGATTTTCTAAAGGAGAAAAGGTGTCAATTTCCAAGGAATCAAGGGGTTTAGGACATAAAATGAAATAAAAAAGTAAACATCAAATCTGCCCGTCCAACCCATATTTTTTTTTAAAAAGTGATGAGAAACAAGAATATTTTTTATGTGGCCTTAAATTTACAAGTTGTCATCAGTTCAAAAGTTGTCATCAGTTTAAAAGTTGTCAGTTGTTTTTCTCAAGTGTTTATTGAATGTGTAAATTATAATAACAATTCATTTATGAACAGTATACAATAAATATTTACTAACCATAGTATAAATAATCACTGCTAACCATAGCAATGATATAAAATAACTATTTACTAACCATGCTGAATACAAACATTACAATTTCCTAACCATAATATCCAAGTACAGAAAACCTTCACAGAAGAAATCTTGACTACATGGTAAATTCTGCCAATAGCTCACTAAGTGGCAATGGTTCATGGATCTGTATTTCAGTGATGTGATTGTGGGAGGAAGGACAAGCAGGATGCTGGCAGGTATTAACCTGCACCAGGTTGTACATGCAGAGGCCCAGGTTAGAGTTACCACTGATGGGCAATGTGTGCAGGGCTGGCTAAAACGAATTAAATATCATTAACGGGAAGAATTATTAACAATTATAAATTTGAAAATGGTGCCATCAATAATATCTTATATAAATTATTGTGATGAAATAAAGACACCAGAAAAATGCATCACACATTGTACCCATGTGGGGAATCGAACCCGGGTCTTCGGCATAACAAGCTAACGCTTTAACCACTAGGCTACCCCACCACCCCTGAACTTTACAGACTGAATTCACTTGTCACATGCAGCTGTTAGTAATCCAAGCATAAATGTGTCTCACTCATCAATGATAATGTGAAATACATTGATTCTATTCACAAATTTTGGTCCATTTTTGGTCAGTCTTACTTCTCTGATGTTTATTGCTAATTGGTCTATATTAAGTTGGCAATTACGAATCCCTTTGATCTACATGGATAGCCTGCCCTAGCAATGTGACAGTACTCCTGTCTAAATATACCATGCAGGATATTATTGGAATACTGCTCTCTCATTACCATGACTATAGCTGAAGTTTTACTGTCCAACGGACTTAATGATCTTAGGTTTACATTAAAAGGCAGACAAAGACGGAAAAATGCCTCCAGCTATTGCTAAGTATCCTATCACAATGATTATGCAATAGGCTAAATAACAAAATTCAAATTCAGCACATTTAAGACCATTCTACATGATGTAATATTGTTTAGACATTTCAAACCGAATTGTTCTTTCAGTTTCACAGCCTTTTCGGTAATCATGGTAATTATTATTTGAAAATAGGCTCAAGGTAATCAGAGTGTGCAATAACTATCGAACAGAGCTACAGGTAACTTTTTGGGTAAAATATATTAAAGTTTAAATGTTGGTATTTGTCATTTATATTTGATCTGTAATATGAGAAACGATAAGAAAGACTGCAAGTTGCCAAGTTCGGGTGCTCAATTAGAACCTCTCAATATACTTCAGTTATTTTATCTATTTTTGTTTGTACGCATGTAAGATCAAATTTATTGAGTATGTACAAAAATTCAAGCGTACTTGTACGAAATAGACTTAATAGGAATTGAGTTTTGACATAAATATTTGCGTAATTTACGCAGATATGCAGCTGATCTGTACCTCTGTATGGAATGCCCAATTCCTTGCATCAGCAAACCATCACTGCATTGTCATGGTATTGTGGATAGAGATAGGTACACTAGTGCACACTAGTGTTGAAGAGTATTCAGTGCAGTTATGAAGAAGACAGATTTACAGGCAGTGAAAAGAGAGATGTGTGCCTTGGACATGTTAGAGAACACAGAGCAGGGAGACAAGACCAAAAGTTGAATACTGTACCTCATTTTGTTCTATGTCTGTAAAAATAATCATTGATAGTATAATAATACATGCAAACAAAACTGAATAGTTTTCTTTAGGAGTAATGTAGGCCAGGTTATAGTTGCCATAGATACAGACTGATTAATGAATGCTATTACCATGATTACCTGTCAATAGTTTACACGTTAAAATTCATAAAAAGCTTTAGAGAAACTGTTACCTTACCCATTGCTTTTATCATGCAGCAAACAATAAAACTACTCCACATGTTGAATAGTGTCAGAGGCATCACCTTACACCTCCAACACCATGATTACCCCAAGCTACATGGCTCATAATAGGGGTGGGTGATAAAACCGGTTAACCAATATATTGCAATTTGAACTTCACAATACGACATACAGTCAGGCCACGTTAATCTGAATGCTTCCGTTTTTCATCAAAAACGTTCAGATAGTGAAACGAACTGACTACTGAAACGAACCATTATGTACTCCACTACAGTAGACTTACTTCTCTTTGACATACCATGACAAGAACATAAGAACGTATACATGTTTTGATGGGGCCAGTCGCGTTTGCACAAGTGAGACCCATTAATTGATTAAAATTACAAACTAACGACATGTTCAACTCAGAAGTGTCACCTCACTTATCAATTACCATTAAAGTTTACCAATGAAGATCAGCGGTAATCAATGATGCTCACGAGGTAAGGAGATTATCCAAACCTTTTTCATGTACCGCCCGACTAATGAAGCAACCCAAGTGTAATTAGCTAATCTGTTAACGTCCGGAGCATCGGAATAATGAATCAACAGTTAATGAGTTTACATAGTAAACAAGATTGGTTACAGCTAGCTATAGTTCGGATATCGCGGGAATCGGATTATCGGGGTCCAGACTAACGCAGCCTGACTGTATTGCAATACATTTTTCGTGAACCGGTTCGCCCGATACGATCGGCAGTTTCCGTGACCATGATCGGTAATTTTCGTGATGTAGTCAAAAATACCAATAACATTTGTATCTCCTGCATGTTATTATATATTAATAGTTTTGATAAGTTTACTGGTCATACAATTGCATTTGCGCGACTCTTAAACCATAAACCTTGTACAATCACATCTGAGTTCTGACAGTGGCCAGTGGCATTGTTTCAAAAGAAAGGAAATAGTAATTTCATCACCTTAAACCATGTGTTACACTTTCACAACATATTGCAATTTCTAAGATGCTTCAGTGAAAGATCAAAGGCGCAGACAGTACTTTATCAGACGATAATGTGCACTTTTTGCATTCGTCACATTGTTATGGCGTCACTGCGCCATTCTAGTCTGCCCCCTCGTAATCGAACAATTTTGCATTACGTCACAATGTAAACGACGTCAAAATGCATGTCAGATGTCATCGCCTCGTACAGCCTCCTACAGTAAACTACTCCGCTGCATCCCGTTTCTTGGTTTGCAGTTGCTTCACGCAGCTAACATCACTGGTGGAAACATTACGTTTATGTTTTCCGAAGGTTACAATGTCTCAATTCGACTCACAAGTTTTCAGCGACATGGTTACATTCGCAATGTTTACATTCCCACAATGCAATCGTGGAATGTCCCTTGACTACTCAGCTTCATCTGGATGTACTGATCCAAACTTGCGTTGGTAGTGGAAATGCGACGTTGTCCCATATGGTTTACGTTAATCACAGATGTAATTTGAATAATTTAGAGAAAATATTTAATCCGAACGTAAACCGTCATCAAACTGTTTATCATGTTTTTTCTGGTAACGTTCATCTTTACGTAGGGGGGCAGACACATCAACAGCGCGCCAGTTAGCCCTGTCCAAGGATTCTTAATTTAGGTCATCGACACCCACGTTTGTTGATTAATCGTAATTATCCTTAGAAAGTATTAAATTTGGCATCTTAGAAAAGAAAGACAGTTCGCTCTACCACCATGTATAGTATAATAAAGCACGCTTTCGCCCTGAACTATTATAACGTTAAGCATCCTCGTGCTATAACTATAATAGTTCCAGGGCTCCAGATAATTTTTGAACACCAGGAGTACGTACTCCTTATTTTTTCAATATAGGAGTACTTGAAAACCTTTAGCCTACATTTAGAGTATTGAATGAATTTAATGGAGTATCAGTAATCTTGTGTTTCGTTTCATATATGCACCACAACATTGCTAGTCTTGTGTAAACAGGTCAATAAACAATAAAACAATACTTTTTCAGATAAATACGTCTGTAGGTGATTCTAAGACAGTACACCATTGCCGTGGTGTGTATCTGCTACGTTTTATAAATTATTTCCTACCGTATCGTGCAATTTTTTTATCCGTACATATGCCAATACGGCCCTTATCTGGAGCCCTGAGTTCAGGGCGAAAGTGCTCTTTATTACACTATACATGGTGGTAGAGCGAACTGTATTTCTTTAAAATATTGCAATACGCCAACACATATCACAATATATCGCAATACGAAAATTTGGACAATATCCCTCCCTAGCTCATAAGCATCTAATGTCTTAATCAGCTTCTAGAAATCAAGGTCCCTGTAAATAAAAGATATATATAGCAAACAGTATTTCTCTTCTACACCATGAGCACTTCCTCTGGAGATTTATTTGGACCTGCTCAGAGACTGATATTCAGACCCAGATCTGGAGCAAAAATTCCCAGTTAGAGTTTAATTTTCCCAGAATTTATGAAAATAACAACATGAAAACAAACAAAATTTTGAACAATATACTGATTTTTCACCAAAGGCATTTTTTAAAATCCTTAATAGATCCCTAACCTCACACAGCCATGAACACAGAAACAGTAGGGGGTGTGGCAAATAGACTGCATGTTTCAAATTAACTAACAGGATTACCTACCAGCAAGACAAAGGAAACCTACATCATGTACAGGACAGCTGAGTATTGCCTTGCCAAATATCAGCACTTGTCAAAAGCTGTTGTGATACATATGACGAGCATGCTGCAATGCATTTTGCAACACCTTGCATAACAACACAACAGATTCAAGATGTATTAATTGCTACAATCCCATGGCTTGTCTAGAATTGTTTTTGCTGTGGGTTTTTTTGTGTATTGTTGTTGTGCATATTCTCTTTTTCTAAAATATCAGAGGTATGTGCACCATTTTAACAAGTAATTCAATGCATTAACATAAAACCAAGCAATTAAGTATTTTCCTCTTTATTGATTGGATATAGATATAATCTATTCATGGAATGTGTCCCAGATGCACAAGGTATGGGCTAACATAAATACACAGTCAATAGGAACATGTTAAATATAAGCATTCTAACCATGTAATGATGAGATGTGATATCATTATTACTATATAATATATTATCATAGTTATGATGAGCTTATGTACTAACATAACTTCCCTGAACAGTCACAAAATAATAGAATTTGTTTGTTCTCGTGCCCAAAACACAATAACATAATATCAAGTCCAAATATTACGTGGCAGTCTGACTGAAAAAGAAGATAAGTTCATAAAAAGAAATCTAAGCAGATGCGAGCTTCCTAGCAGCTGTTCAAATGTCACTTCATCCCACTTAACATTGGTACACTTTGTACCGTTCCCACATTGCAGCCTGTGGATTCCACGGCGGTCAGAAGACCAGGCACTTGTTTGTGCATTGCCGACGCTATTTTTCAAGCTTACTGTCACAAATCCCGATTACCTTTTCGATCTACGTGCTGACATCACTATATAACTGTATCAGTGTGACAAAAACATTCTATAAATGTTGACTTTTCATATCAGGATAAGTGTGTTATGTTTTAGCAGACTGAAATTCCCTCCTTTTCAGAAGTAGAGCTAGTTACAATGACACTCAAGTATTTTTGTCATTACAAAATAAAAGAAAACACTGAACGCATTACAGTACGCTTATTAATCATATAATATATTGATGTAGTTAATACCGACGTAAATATGATAAGGTACTCAAACAAAGAGACGTCGACAAAATAATACGAAACTAATTCTCTTAAAACTAACGCCACCTGGTGGTGGTAGTGCACAAACGGTACTTTCCATGTCATCAAAGCTGTCACAGTACGGAGGCATCGGAGCGTGTACAGAGAATCACTTTATTTGGATCATGCCATGTGATTAATAACTGAGTCAGCGATGTTGAGGTATGTATATGTTATATGCTCCTGATTTATATTTTTATGATAGTTACGATCGATTTGATAAAGAAGCACAAAACTCCATATTTAGCTGAAAAGTTTTCCACCTACCCTAACTTAACTGAACATAACTGTTTTGATTTACATCTTCATCGTCTGCCTAAATGCCTAAACATATATGGTAAATGTGTCAAGTATATATGCAAGATGTACTGACAGGTAAGAACCATATATAGCGTTCAATCCTTTTCAATTGAAATTGGAGTGACAGAATTGTCAGAGCCTCTTTTACCCACAGGTGCTTTTTGTGTACCGTTTTCAACACCATCTCATCTTCATCTAAGGTGTGACTTATGTCTGTGGAACTGTGTATAAAGCTTTTTTAGATTTTTTACATAAGAGATAGGTAAGTTTTGTCTCAACCCTGTATCTCAACCTAAATACAGTTTCATTTATTCATCTTTGCATTATCGGTTTTGGATGCTTAAAGGGAGACAAAACAAGAACTTTGAAGGCATTCCAGTATTCATCAGGTTTTCTTCCCATATACAAAATTTGCTTATTATGGACTATATTTTTGACTGGTTTGACTTGTGCTGGGTGCAATTCTCACTGCTCTGTGCAAAGTAACATATCAGGAGATTGAAAAATTAGATGCCGCATTTCATAAGAATGACTTATAAAGAGCCATAAAGAGTTATTATTGAGGATTAGTGCATACACTGCTTAGAAGGTTGAGGCTATCAGTCAACATCATATTATACATGTGAAAAACTATATCATATCTGTTCAGAGATATGCTTGAGTTTGATAACAGTGGGCTATCTATAAATTATCGTCTAATCCCTTGAACAAAGCATGTTGGTTTTACAGAGGTAGTTCACACCAAGACATGTGTCTGTTCCACCTGCTTTCATAAACCTACTTAAATTATTTAATAGACTGTCTTTTGACCAATGCGCTGTGCAAGAATAACAGTGATTAATTAATCAAGTGTTATCAATTAATTCTTTGATCAATATTTTTCGCAACTCTACTGACAACACCTGTCCTGCTGTGCTGCATTAGGCACATTACATAACTCATTGACCACATCAGACATGGATTTACAGTCCAATATTAGATTGAATAATCACTCATAGACACAACAAAATGTGAACTTCTGATCAACGTATGTCTGTGAATTCCTCAGTGGCAGGGTGAATGTTAATCAAGAAAATGACAAATAGGATGTAAGGTCTATACCTTAAAACATGGATGAGAAGAAGGGCATAATAATGTTGGGTTTTTTTTTTAATCTGCTTGACAAATCACTGTCGTCACTGTTTTGAGTAGATGAAATGAACCTCCTTGTTGCAAAAATATTATGCACACAAATCTGATACTTACTAGACCACAGAATTGTACAGATGAATGTTCAAGGTGAAAGGTTTCAGTAAGAATGTGAGAATTGAAGATAATTTAACCCTTGTCAATAAGGTCGTTTGGAACCCTGTTTGTTGGATCGTTAATCAACTGTAAGACATATCTTTCACTTATCAAAGACAACTTCTTTTAAAAACAGCCAATCATCAGAACGTTTACAATGTTTCTGTGAGGCAACCTCAGTATAGCCCATAAATGCACTGCCGTCCGAAAAACATGTCTGAAAACATATGATCTGGCAAGCAAGTTGGATGACACATCATAGCCTATAAAACCTAACACATGTTATGCCTACCCTTTATAATAAACAAAATTTGATTGCTGCAGTGCATTGGGTGTGCCTCTGTTTGCGAAGTAATTCAGGATGGACAGATCTTAGTTTGACTTACATTTTGGTGACTTATTCAGTTGTTTGCATTAAATTTAAAAGCAGGATTAAGTCAGATTGCTTTAACCAATATATTGCCATCTCCCATGTACAATGTATGTTAAGCTGTATTAGCAGCCTCTGGCTTGTGGTATGAAACCTAAAAAGTACATGTAAAATTCCTGATAAGGTGGTGTTGTTTTACTGAGACTGTGGGACTTCTGATACAGAGTAAGATATGTTGTGTTGGAGATCACTGATTAGAAGTCCTGACAAAGTGGTGTTGTTTTACTGAGACTGTGGGACTTCTGATACAAAGTAAGATATGTTGTGTTGGAGATCACTGATTAGAAGTCCTGACAAAGTGGTGTTGTTTTACTGAGACTGTGGGACTTCTGATACAAAGTAAGATATGTTGTGTTGGAGATCACTGATTGGAAGTCCTGACAAAGTGGTGTTGTTTTACTGAGACTGTGGGACTTCTGATACAAAGTAAGATATGTTGTGTTGGAGATCACTGATTAAAGTCCTGACAAAGTGGTGTTGTTTTACTGAGACTGTGGGACTTCTGGTACAAAGTAAGATATGTTGTGTTGGAGATCACTGATTAGAAGTCCTGACAAAGTGGTGTTGTTTTACTGAGACTGTGGGACTTCTGATACAAAGTAAGATATGTTGTGTTGGAGATCACTGATTAGAAGTCCTGACAAAGTGGTGTTGTTTTACTGAGACTGTGGGACTTCTGATACAAAGTAAGATATGTTGTGTTGGAGATCACTGATTGGAAGTCCTGACAAAGTGGTGTTGTTTTACTGAGACTGTGGGACTTCTGGTACAAAGTAAGATATGTTGTGTTGGAGATCACTGATTAAAAGTCCTGACAAAGTGGTGTTGTTTTACTGAGACTGTGGGACTTCTGGTACAAAGTAAGATATGTTGTGTTGGAGATCACTGATTAGAAGTCCTGACAAAGTGGTGTTGTTTTACTGAGACTGTGGGACTTCTGATACAAAGTAAGATATGTTGTGTTGGAGATCACTGATTAGAAGTCCTGACAAAGTGGTGTTGTTTTACTGAGACTGTGGGACTTCTGATACAAAGTAAGAAGATATGTTGTGTTGGAGATCACTGATTAAAAGTCCTGACAAAGTGGTGTTGTTTTACTGAGACTGTGGGACTTCTGATACAAAGTAAGATATGTTGTGTTGGAGATCACTGATTAGAAGTCCTGACAAAGTGGTGTTGTTTTACTGAGACTGTGGGACTTCTGATACAAAGTAAGATATGTTGTGTTGGAGATCACTGATTAGAAGTCCTGACAAAGTGGTGTTGTTTTACTGAGACTGTGGGACTTCTGGTACAAAGTAAGATATGTTGTGTTGGAGATCACTGATTAGAAGTCCTGACAAAGTGGTGTTGTTTTACTGAGACTGTGGGACTTCTGATACAAAGTAAGATATGTTGTGTTGGAGATCACTGATTAAAAGTCCTGACAAAGTGGTGTTGTTTTACTGAGACTGTGGGACTTCTGGTACAAAGTAAGATATGTTGTGTTGGAGATCACTGATTAGAAGTCCTGACAAAGTGGTGTTGTTTTACTGAGACTGTGGGACTTCTGATACAAAGTAAGATATGTTGTGTTGGAGATCACTGATTAAAAGTCCTGACAAAGTGGTGGTGTTTTAGCCTGCCACCTTGTCGTGTCATTGTACTTGACATATCCGTAATCGTAAATAAAATTGTGAACTTATAAGGCCTATTTTATTATGAAATCCAATTAACATGACATTTAATCAACACATATGTGAAAAAATTATTATTTTAACTTTGATGGTGTTTCAGCGAGAGCCATTAGATGGATGAAGCCGGTTAATATTTACCAAAGGAGACAACTCCATCGTTTCACGGTAAACAAAAAATGTATTCCTCGGGAGATAAATATAGCTCATGACATCACTTCCGCTGTCTTATATGGCAGCAATGATATGCAGACGACTTAGTTCAGATGGAGTGGGAAGGGTCCTATATGAAATGTAATTATTATTAGCAGGTACTTGATGGATGGGGGTCAGACAGATTCCAAAGGATTCCAGAGTTCCATGTTAATATTTCTGCTGGATAATACTTACAAAGATTCAGTACATCCTGTTCAGAGGTACTGCTGAAGTCCTGACAAAGTGGTGTTATTTTACTGAGACTATTCAGTCTGTTGATACAAAGTAAGATATGTTTTGTTGGAGATCAATAAATGTGATCTTACTGCAAAGTGGTGTTGTTGTTTTACTGAGACTGTGGATAATAAAATAACTTCGAAGTATACTAGAGGTTCTATTTCAGGACATGAACTTGACAACTTGCAGTCTTTCTGAGACTCATTTCTGATATTACAATCAAATATAGTACATTAACTTACCCAAAATTTATCTGAAGCTCTGCTGTTGTTTCCTCAAAAGTAAACAAGCGACTGATGTCTGGCTTTCGATTTACATATGGAAATATCGTTTGCCGCGATACCATGAATGCCACGATACGAGGTCCGAGTATACTGGGACGGCAGGACTTCTGATACAGAGTGAGATGTGTTGTGTTGGAGATCACTGATTAAAAGTCATAGACAGGAGATTTTACGTCACAATATAAGCGAATTCATATCTACTTGTTCTGTAACATATGACATCATCAGTATACTCTCAATCTGTGTGTAATAATGACAGAAGCCTATTGACACCTGTGAATCCAAACCTTTTTCCTGCCTAAATCTTTTCACTTGGAAAACGGAAGTAATGGTGGCTCTTTGCATTGTTTGATGACACCATGCACCTCCAGGCAACACAATACACCATCGTACAATTTAAAAAACAACAACCGAAAAATGCGGTTTACCTTACTGTAGCGCTTGGTCTTAGGCAATATGGCTGACTTTAGTCACATATGACGTCATGAGTGAAAAGGTCACATGGTTGTCAGCAGAATATGCATAATGGCTGAAGCTGAGATAACAGAAACTGTTTTCACAATTAAAATATAAATATAAAAACTTTTGCATTAAAAATTGGGGTACATGTTTCTGACAACTTTATCTTTTACCCAGTAATTTATTGCAATTTTCTAGTATTCTCCTTTAAGCACGTTAAGCAGCTGATGTTATCCATTTGCGAATGTATTTAGGCTAAATAAAAAAAATGTTGTGGTTCCGATTACACATCTTTAAAAT